GGGGGGGGGGGGGGGGGGGGGGGGAGCAGTCGACCACAGCAGTGGGACGAGGTAACATTGATATCAGCTAAATTCAAATTGACTCGTATGATGCTCACAGGCAAGGCTTACAAAGTCCCTACCATATTTTTTTATGCCAAACTCTAATGTCTCATATTATAATCGGCCTGATGGGAGACTGAAGTATCAGAATACTAATCAAGAAGTTCATAAAAAGCTTAGGTAAAACTAGTTAGTTCATCCATAACGTCTGACATAGCCTACTGGTGGTTAGAATGTGGTGGTGAAATGTGCCAACCAGAACTTCTTTTGAAGTCGGACTCACGTCTTACTATTTGTAAAGATTGGTGGTTCGTAGGTTATTACAGGATGTAGTCGTCAAGTCCATTTAATCATAATATGTAGGCATATAGTTGTAATCATATGAACATGAGCAATAAAGAAATATTCTTATTTTTCTCCGAAAGTGACTTAAGTTGGTTAAATAAAAGGGGTTTGTTTTAGCAAATGCTTCTATGGAATGATATATCATAAGGATGTGCTTTCGCCGATTGGGTTATGGGACATGCCCGTCCGGTCGTGCTTTGGGTCCAATATGGAAACACGGCGGGCAAGCTTAAAAAAGAGCCCAATGAGACAGAAACAGTCATCTCATTCGCCCTTGTCATTGTCAGTAATCTTCAGGAAAGGACGCAATATGCGACACGACTTTGCTCATTAAGTATCACTGCCTACTGATTATTCGAAAGTAGTGTTGTTTAATGTGGGTGCACTGATTGCCTTTTTCAAGATAACATACATATCTGCTTGACTGAAATCATTCTGTATCGTTTTCGCTTAAATATACACGCTGGTTTGGTAGAGTTCACCTTTGCTGGCCACCTTGGCGCTTCCCTGTGTTCCGCTGTTCTGCATCACTATGTCGTGCCGTTGGGTCAACGTTCCCAGTTTACTCTTATGGGGTTCGCCGACGTCATTCGCCCTTGAGTCTCTGTTGACTATTTCGCTGCCTTGATCTCTGAACGTGGCGTCTTATTGTGCGGGCGCTTTATTTAGCTTCATTTGGTTTCTGGTGTTAAATTTCACTAGTATTCAATTTTCCCGGTCGTTTTCAAGGTTATGGAATAAGAACATTTTTTCCAGAACTTCATGTTTTTTCACCGCTTTCTTTCCCATACATTAGTCCCACCCATATAACCCCTACTTCTACCAGCTCCGTAAGACACGATGACCTATTCGCCGCATTCTGGATGGGGTCGCATATTACTTCGCTGCCCTTCTTCTGCATATATTAGTAGATGCAGTACGACTGCCTGCGGGCTCTAGATAGAGTTTGAAGTAACAACAAGACGAGCAGGTCTCGTAACCTGAACGGCGAACGTCTTTCCAACGTATAGTTAGCTACTGTCAATGCAGTTGTATGTGACTTTCATCGTGGACATAGAAAAAGGTCGTCTACCAAATATAAGAGACGGACCTGATCCTGGAGGTTAACAGAAAAAGATCCTAACGGGTCCATTTCCAGACGCCGGATGCGCCTTTTAATGCGCGCGAGACAGAGTCTCATTCGACTCTGATACAGTCGATAGTCCAGAGGGGTGATCTGCGTATGGAACAGCTTGCCATCCTTCCAGCAGACATGCACGAATTCTTGGCAGTAGACCGCGCTGACAAATTTGGGGCTTATGACCTTTAAAGAGACAAAAAAATTAAATAAAAAGGAAAGGATGTCGTTAAAAATAATACAATAATTAAGATTTTCCTTCAAAGTTAGACAGTATTTCCTCATCCCTCTGTTTTACTGCACTTCATATTGTAGTGAGTTGGCAGGTGAGATCTATGTTTCAACATGGGATAAAGTCGACATATTTAGGATGAGTAGACACAGTCAGATAAGCAGAATATACTTGGGGTGGAACAGTGAAAATAAAGTAAATTCATTTCATATGCTCCGTCTCCGGATCCAACATTTTTAACACGCAAATCGCAAAGTGCTTTGGTGTAAGTCCTCAGAAAGCTAACTGAATAGTGTTCAGGTCCGGCATGAAACAAAGGATCTCAAAAATTCATTTGACGTCGTGTATAAAAGTGTTTTGAACAATCTAAGAAGTGCGCCAAAGACTTAATCAGCAGCAGCTGAAATATGTGATATATTTTTAATCACTCAACTTCTATAAAATCTCCTTGTACATGTGCAAGACTGTCCGCAGATACCTTTGTACCCCAAAATTTCAGGATAGTAAAAGCGTCTTGAGGTTGCACATGTTCGTGTCTGGATGAAAAGTAACTGAGACGAGGGGAATAATTGTTTAGTTTCCTACAGTAGTCTATTTTATGGATGAGAATTAGATAAAATGGTTTGCTGCAAATTAACTATGCTGCAGGGGAAAATTAAAGGTCAGAACGGAACATTTCATGTGTCAACGTCAGACTTCATATTGCAAAGATACCCTGCGAAATGTTAGGGAAGTCTATCTTGAGTACACTTCTAAAACAACAACAACTTGCGCACTTGGTCCCCAAGAGTGGTCATCCGACCCACGCTCTTTTTAACTAATGACGCAAACTACAGAATACTCGAGTACCTCATTTTATTTGGTCCGAGTTCCGGAAATAAGTCGCTTTCAGTATAGTTTTTATACCAAAATGTTAAAGGCAGGTCACCCGTAGCAGTGAAATGTGCACTAATAAAAGAATACTGCACGCTGCAACTATAAAGTAAGAAAGTTTTTCATAAAAAAGGACAGTTAAATGGTTGCCAGCCTAACAACCAACAGTGGATGAGATAAAATGGCCTTACGAAAAAGGAAGCCTGATTTTTACTCAGGTGCTGAATGTACTTTGAATTTTCGCGAAGTCCATCTAAGCACTAAACAATACGAGCTCTAAGAGCACTTCCTCTTTGAATAATGGGGACAGAGGAAGCACCTTAGTCTCGTCATTGTCACTACGTGAGGTCAAATTAACGCATGCGCAAGTACAGTCAAGTAGAGTAAGCAACATACTGGATGGGGTGCAAAGGTTAAAGGTGGACCCCACTTACTGCGCCACATTCGACCGGAGAACACGTGGGTGCAGATGGCAGACGGACGATGCCATCGCAGTGCTTGAAAGACAGGGCCGGCAGAACGTCTTCGACAGCAAGTTTCTGCGCTCGCACTCCAAAGCGAGCAAGCCAGGCCTCCGTCAACTTACGAGAATGCCGATCTCGATCGCTGGGAGACGCAGTGGCCAACTTTTCCTGAGCTGAATGAATTGGAAGAAAGCAAAAGTGTTTTTAGAAAGCCGTCGCTTGAGTTTCTCATGACTAAGGAAGGGGAAGATCACTCACATCCAGTGATGAGCGGATGGTTTGACTGGAGCGAAATAATGTCCCTTACAAGCGCGAGACAGTTGTGTGTTCTCTCCATCTCCTCTACAATAAGGCGACAATCATCGGAGACAATATAGCCCAGGGCAGTTGGAGAGGTCGGAACCAACTCCTGCTGAGAGACTGATGGATCCACATAGGCATGAAAACTAGATAAGATAATAAGGTGTTGAGGATGCTATGTTTAGTAATTGAGCTGAAGATGAAAAAACGCCTTCAAACAAGTCGTTTCTGCAGTTTATTTGCAGACATTTAGCGGTCCGCATATTTTGTGGAACGTTCAATGCTGAAATAGGGTAAGAAAAACTAAAACTCGCAGGTACGCAAACATAATTCGATTAATTTTTAAAAAGCAGGCTAACAACCTTAAAAATGACAAAAAAGTCCTGTCCAGAGCGTGAAAACCAAGGCTCAACTAAGGTCTTTTAAGGGGCTAAGTCCAGGTTTTATGAATCTTTATGACATTTGATACAACTCAAATCATTCGACATAATGCGAACACGACGGGCTGTGCAAGTCCTACATATTCATTTTGAAACTTCACAATTCCTTGGAAAAGTTAAAGGCCGGTGTTTGTATTAGATTAGTAAGCTTGATGTGACATTTAACAGACTGTCGCAAACTATGGCCAGCATGTATGCGTTAGTATACAGCAAGTTTTCTGATACAAGCGAAGATGCGAGTTCCAGGAACTAGGTGATCAGAAGAAGAAGCGATCGCTGGAACAAGGGCTTTATTCGCCTGACATTTCGGATTCTCACTCGAATCCATCATCAGAGACAGTTGCTGAAAAGGGTGGCTAGTGTACAGGAAGTCGCAGTATTTATAGGATGCGGTCGCCATGCTACCGCATACCTATAGCAATTAACCGCGCTCCCCTTCATCAAGGATTGTTGTCCACTGGTGCGCTAATTGCTTGCTGGCCGGCATGCAAGTTGTTAATTGCCGAAATGTCATCACCTGTATTGGATTTTGGCGTGACGATTGTTTGACCACCTGGCTCCCCGGCATGCGTGTTTCCCGAGTGGCTAATTACTTTGACAAAACTAAGTCTTGGCACCGAATATGGGATGGAAGGCCATTGCACTTGCTAATTTACATAGGCTGGTCAAGGTAATTGACCACTCGGGGAGCCCGCGAGCCGGTGAGCCAGATAGCCGAGCAATCATCACGCCAGCATCCAACATGGTGATGAAATTTCGGCAATTAACCACTTGCATGCCGGCCAGCAAGCAATTAGCGCACCAGTGGACAACAATCCTTGATGAAGGAGAGCGCGGTTAATTGCTATAGGTATGCGGTAGCATAGCGACTGCATCCTATAAATACTGCAACTTCCTGTGCATGATTCACCCTTTGCTGCCACTGTCTCTGATGATGGATTCAAGTGAGAATCCGAAACGTCAGGCGAATAAAGTCCTTGTTCCAGCGATCGCTTCTTCTTATGATCAGCAAGTTTTCTGTCTGAAATGTTAACTGTCTGACAGTGATGTCGGAGGGCAACTACGGAGGACGCAAATGTTGGGGAACTTTAAGTCATTCAAGCCCACTTTTAAATAAATCAGAATTTTCTCAGTAAATTGCAGGTAGCGTAGGGACTTGGGGTGTAACGCAGGCCCTCGACAAAATTTCCACTGCAGACAAGGAAACAAAAATCGGCCATATTAATTTTCGTTAATCAGAATTCAATAAGGAAAGCGATGACAGACTAATTCCTGACTTTTCTGACAGGGACAACAGACTCGAAAATCCCGTTTGCAAAACCAACGTCTGCCAAATTATTCGTCGCTCCCTGACCGGACAAATTCAGATGTGTAAACTCGTGGAATGTTAGTCATAATTCCAAAATTCGTCTTCGAATGGATAGTTAAGCAGGGCAGTAAGACTATCCATTGCACGGAATAATCACAAGATATTTCGGTAACATCGGGATATTGACTTTTTGACTACCTTTCTTCTGGATGTTTGCAAACTTACACTCTGGAAAATGACTATTTATGTGACAGAGGAAAGGTTCCCATTTATGTTTGATGTCTTTATGCATTCAAACATATTTTGTACAAAACATGCACGAAAATAATTTTCCTTTTTGCTAACTTGGTAACAAATTTCAATAACGATATTTCACAGGAAAGCACATCCGCTGTAGAATGCTTCAAAATAATCTCTAGGCACAGACTTATCTTGCGATTCGCCTGCAACTTGGGGAGCCATCGGTCCATTGCAACGTAAATTATAGAAAAAGGTGAAGAGTGGGGTGATAGGGCTTTAGTGGAGTACTCTCTCATGCAAAACCAAGATTTCTGATTTGCATTTCTGGAGGTATGGCACATTACGAAAGATTGAATTGTGTTCGGTTGTTGGTATCGACTAACTGCATTAAGATAACAGCTGTGCTGAGATAAGACGAATTATTCGAAAACGCGGAGAGTAATACGAAGTAAAGGCTTCTCATAAAGACATTGAAAAACAAAAGAGAACGCTGTACACACCGATTATTCTTCCGGCGACAGCTGCGGTACCTATCCAGACAAATCTTCTCAGTTATGGCGTACATAACTGTGTGTACAGGAATGGTGGCCTGCAGAATGTCGTTTGCCCAGGACTCAGGAAATGCGCCAACTGTTATGAAGTAAACCGCATTGCACTAAAAAACAAAGAAGAGAGTTAGAATTTAAAAGTTTTAACGAAATAACAAATGTGTATATAAGAGTGACCGAAAAGAAACCAGTAGGCAAAAGAAAACTAATGTCCAGTAATATGCTGCTGAATAATTAGGGAAAACTGTTTCATTAAGTTTAAAGCCGTAAATATATCCAATAATACGGGAACTCTGATCCTGTAGTCGTACTTCTTTCCAGTTAGATACAACAAGAATAGCGTCTGAGAGCCCTTTTTTGCTGTTCGTACTAAGTGTTTCCAAGGAGAGCAGCCATTCAATTACAGTGTCTCCTATTCCTTCAAACACCTTTAATGGCTGCGAAGAGAGCATTTCGACATCGCCCTGAAGTCTGTTGGTCGGTTGCCATAACAAATGCGGTTTTACCTGACTATTTTAAGCAGTTTGCCGGTAGATAATTGAGAGGCGATAAATTGGCGAAACCGGAGATAAAAGTTATGCAAATTTTGCACCCCAGTTTGGAAATGAAGAATAATACCGACACACTTTTCGGGAATAACTCCAAAATATAACGCATCCTCAGACAGTAGCCAATGCAACCTGGCGTTGAGTAAGTCGTATATAAACTTCAATCGACTCTCAAATGTAAATAGCTTCTGGGGGCGGATAGAAACCTGCAACCTCAGGAGCAAATTAGAAAATTACGCAGATTCTCTTCAAAGAAGGAGACGTTGTGATAATTTTAAAAGTATCCTGGCCATATTTCGAGGAAACGTACTTCTGAAGGACACTAATATATCCTAGCAAAAATTTCGTAAGTCTCGGGGAATTACCCTTTTCCATTTTAAATCCAATATGCCTAATTATCGATGGTTCATCAAGTTTAAACTTATTGAGCCCGAAGTCTTTAAGCCACTGCACACTACACACTTGAAGTCTTGAGATGAGGTCGAAATTGCTGCACTGGTTTATGGAACAGGTCCTGCCATTTGGCAGCTCATTTGTCAGATGCCCGCACAAAAAACAGTGGTCGTTGGGCATTTTAAAGACGCTTACAGCAAAATAAGACCAGCCAACGGGTTAAAATAATATACAGACTCTGGTACCCCACTCTCCAGTAACATGCAAAAACCACCGGATTTTATAGGATGCGCGAAAATAACGTTGCCATAACAACAGACATTGATAGACGTCGGCGTTATCTTACTGGCTCCAATTTTTCTGATGTATCCTACCAAATAATCAAGACAGGATAGGCTCTCTAGATACCTACAGAAGGCTCTATGAATATCAATATTAGAAGGACATTTAAAACCCAACAAGGCATTCGTAAGTAGCAAGAAAACTTTGGGCAATGAAATCCGGGATAAAAGAATCCATAAACAAAGTGGTAGGTAGGAAAACCGCAAATATGACCTGTGCAGATGGAGACACAGGAGAAAAGCAACCGAACGCATGAAAAGATGGAGATCCCAATGGAAATAACGTGTTCGATTGCCCAAGGGGAGACAGGACAAAAGAGTAAACAAGAATATTTTATCATTTGTTTACTTTCTAACGACAAAATTGCGGTGAGCAAACTCGCAGATAGCAGGGACGGGATGGCGAATTTCAAAACGCAGTTGTAGCCTTTTCCGAGTTTTAACCTGCTCGCATACCATACCTTATCCTCGACAGATTCTGATAAAATGGAAAGGTTGCTTCTAGACTAAAAGCTTACACCACGGAAACCACAAACACAGGAGATTCCAATGTGACGTTTTTGAACTTAGGAAGGGTGCACTTGAGAAAGAGTGAAGAGTTGCGGACCACAAATACACTTAAGTTCTATGATTGAGGCTTCTCCGAAAAAAGCTATCACTTATTCCTAGCCACTGTCTTGAATTCGCAGCCCAGATTTGTAAAATCACACGATTTAGTGACCAGTTAACTTGTTCTTATTGCTGGTAGCAAACTCAGATGAATTATACGGGTTTTCCATCGTAGGTTTTCTGTAATAACCCCCAAAGGCATTTCGCCTTTGCCTAATTTCAGCGGCAAATGATGTACAAGGGTGTTTGACCAGGAAGAAGATCGAATTTCAACCCTATCAACCGTTTCATTACGGAAACTGATCACATCCCTCAAATAATCTGTCGCCGGATAAACTCCTCACCACAAGGGGTGTTCTCTCCAAGAATTTTCTGAAGTAGGTGAGCTTAGATCTACGTATTTTTCCTATTTCTCACTGGAAACTTTCTTGTACACCTGAATTCTTTTGTCAATTTGTGTGAATAACCGAAAAAATACACACAGCTGGGTTCGGCTTGAGTAAATAATAATTTTATTAAATGCAAGTTTACAGGCATTGTCGGGGTAGCGTTAAACACACATCCGGCCAGTAGTGAAAAAAAACTCCTGTTGAAAAGGAATAAAAATAATGTTGATGGTGGTTTTTGTGGTTTGGAGGGTTCAGGAGAAAAAAAACTGCTGGCGACAAACTTTCGACCGTCAAGAAGGGAGGCGTTGCACGGTATCGGATATTATCAGTCGCCAATTTCTTTCATGAAGTTGGGGCTAGTCCAACCAGAAGCGCCGAAGAACAGCGGTCGCTGTTGGCCAAAGAAATTGTCCCTGGTGAGACCGGCCATAGTGTTCAGAGACCACAAACGCCATCGCTACGGTTATGCGGTGAGAGTGTGGTGAGCATGTGAGCTACAATCTTCAGGCCAGATCTCAAGTTGTAGGGGAAAAGACGGAAGGCACCAGAATGGAAGCATATTGTGCATAGAACCCGAAGTCGTCCTCTCAGGCGGCAGTGGCCACTGGCGAAGCCAGTGCTAGTGCTCACTGAGGCTTTAGAGTCCCTGAAATGGTGGCGGCAGAAGCTTTTGTAGGCTCGTGGGCCAAGCTCAAGTGGTGTCCAGTCCGTGTCTGTTGCATTTGCCGAGGGGTGGTGTCCCAGTGGCTTGGCTTGCTGGTTACAGGGGGAGGCGCGTTCAAGTGACGCATGGGTAGCCGCGACGCTGTGTGGACGCAATTGCGTTCGAGCTGAAGTCGGTTGAGCCGATGCAGGTCAGCGCATCTGGAACGGCCCGCAACAAGGGGTGGGTGACCTTGAGGCAGCGAGGTCTTGAACAATGACGCAAGACCGGTCATGATGGCTGGCTGCTACAGCAGGAACTTGGAACTGTTCCTACTATATTTTTAAACTCACTAACGCGATGAAAAGATGCGTATCTGCAAACGACGTTGCGATGGTCCGTGGTAACATTTAAAATGATGATTAAGCTATATATTTGACACTGCCTATTGCCACCAGATCATGACATCGTGCTTGACCTCCTAAACGGCGACCTGCAGGACTTTACCCAGTGGTACCGCACTTGGCGCCTTTCCCTCTTTTGACATAACTGCTTAGTCATGGTGGTTGTCGACGGCCACCAACATCAACTAAGCATTGACGGTCATAACGTAAATGTGCCAACCGTTACAAAGGATCTAAGTGAATCAATTCAATTCAATTCAATTCAATTATTTTATTAAAGACCCGTCGGGGTCCCATCAAAGCAAGTAAAA